AAGTACTAAAGTTATGAGTAAAAAATTGATTGTTTAGTTAATATAAGTTTTAATTGAATATATTGCTATGGTTACTTATTTTTGGTACGCAAAATTAGTAAATCATAGATGACATAATTACGCTATGCAAAATTAAGTAAACATAGTAAAAAAATATAAAAAATCACTTTTATAAAGTCAAAGACCTTATATTATATCGCATCTTAAATACAGTGTACACAGCACAAATAAAAAATCTCTAACTACCAGAAACAGGTTTTTGGAATGCAAAATTAGACATCCATAGCAAATAAATATAAAAGATATCAATTTTTAAAGGAGCCTAGACCTTATATTTGTACTCATGTCAAATTTGGTAAAAATAGCACTTATGAAATTTGATAACTTCTAAAAATAGGTTGTTGCTATGCAAAATTTAGTATCCATAACAACTAAATATAAAAATTATCACTTTCACAAGAAGCGGTGACCTGATAAAGGTACACTGACAAAGTTTGGTGAAAACAGTTCTAATATTAAATTAATTATTAATTTTATCTCAAAATTGACTATTTTGGCCCACTGTGGTATGGAATGAGTGAATTTATTTTTTCAGATTATCAGGGATTGAAATAGAAGAGTTGAAAATGTCTGAGATTTTATTTGGATTATGTATAATGAAATTGGATCATTTATAATGATATTATTTGAAGATATACAGGATGATATGATTCAAACATATATTCAAAAGAGTTCTAATACCCTTCCACGTAACTTTCAAACTATTGCTACTAGTAGTAAAGTAGTTTGAAAAGTTATTCATTTTGCTTCTTCGAATACGTGTTACAAGTAAATTTCTATAGGTTTTGCATGTTTTTCAAGAACTAATTTGTCATGTAGATTTTTTTCGTAAGGAACTTCGTAAAATCTTGTTTTAATTTTTCAATGAGGTTAAAATTGCTGAAGTAATCCATGGTTTAAGGCTCCAAGTTAAGCCAAGATTGCTTCGTGTTTTTAGCGGTGCGCGTTTGTCTTAAAGATAGTTAAAGCTAGTAAAAAAAATTTTATATGATTTACTTGTATTACCACCGGAACTTTGATTAATTTATCCCTGTTTATTTTCAAATAATCACTGATTGGAAGAAAATTGAATCAGCATAAAAGAAAAACAACATTCCGATACCACGATCGATATAACCAGTAAATAGCGCCAATATGGCTATAACGAACTAAATATAATATGGCTATAACGAACAAAATACAATATGGCTAAATACAATATGGCTATAACGAACTAAATAACAATTATGTGGCGACTATTTGAACAATAGTATTATTTTATTATTGAACGAAATTTTTGTATAAATAGAGTTTTTGTTGTTATTGTTTTTCAGATACAAAAATATAAAGAATATAAGTGATATAGTTAATGTAAAAACGGTTAAGATCTTAAAAATATAAGTTATAATACATATTCGGTATTATTTGTGATCGCCATCGGATCATAATTAGTAGCAGAGGGTAGTTTCTTCAACACGGAAGAATGGTAAAAAGAAAAAATCAAAAATCAAATAACCAAATGGAAGATCAGTTGACCGTTCAAAATAAAGTATCTGCATTGAACAGGAAGAAAATAGTTCTAAAGTCTTCGTTTACGCAAACTAAACATCAAATTATTCAGCAAATTGGAGACGATGAACCCACTTGTAAAAATGAGTTACGCGAATTGAGTAATCAATTAACAAAGACTCAAAACGAAGCTCTCGAGATAATGGTTGAATTATCAAAGAAATACAAACTTTTGGAATCAAAAGAAAATGTAGGAAAACTCAATACAGAAATTGAAAAACTAAACGACGAATTTGCGGAAATTATGGAACATGTAAATGAATGGGTATTGCGCAATGGAAGTTTAAAATCAAGTTTAAAACAACAAAGGATGGAAAAAAAACTTAAAATGGAAACAAAAAAGCAATGTTATTAATGGTTAAGTACTCAAAAAGCTAATGACAAGTATGAAGATAATAAAGAAGAAAATGGGAATAGTAAAATGGAACCAATCAAATCAACGCATATCATGCGTAAAATAGAAAATGAAATAATTGATTTGGATCAAAAGACTGCAGAAATTGGACATGATTTATGGAAACAACTCAAACGCGTCTCTCTACCAATATCTAATAGTGATAAAAAGAACTATGAAAATTGGAAAGCTTCGTTCTACGCATGCATTGATCAAGCCCCAGCGACATCTGAGTATAAATAACTTCAGTTACGTCAATATTTATGTGGATATGCATTAAAAGCAATTGAAGGACTTGGGCATTCGTCATTCGCTTAAGAAGCTGCAAAAGAAACACTTGAAAGAAAATATGGCGGAACAAGGAGAAAAATCCTTATGTATTTGGATGAATTGAACAACTTTAAACCTATGAGGGAAAATAATCCAAAAGACGTTGAAAAGTTTGCGGATTTGTTGGATGTGGCAGTAACAATCTTAAAAGAAGGAGGAAATTCGAACAGAAGAACTTGGCGATGGGACATTTTACAATCAATTGCAAAAAAAAGTTCCTGAGATAATGTTAATTAGATACAAACGATGGGTGTATGACAACAAATTAAACGAAAATGTTAAAACTCTAAAAAAGTTTATTGTTGAAGAAGCAGATTTTCAAACTGCAGCAACGGAAACTCTACATGGTTTAAAAAAAACTATTGGTAGCAAAGCACACGAAGGAAATTCTTACTTTGGTAACAGTGATCAAAAAAAGAAAATAAATTGGATACAGAAATGTTCTGTTTGCAAAAACAATCATAAAATATGGGAGTGTCCAACGTTTCAAAATCAAAATATTAAAGAAAGATGGGAGACAGCTAAGAAAAATAAACTCTGCTTTAGATGCTTGAACTCTAACCATTCGTCAAAAGAATGCAGGAACACAAGAATTTGTGGGATTGATGGTTGTACAGATACCCATAATCGTTTGCTTCACAAGAAAAGTCATAAAGAAGAAGATAATTTCTGAAGACTACAAAGAAAAAGACACAATGTTAGAAAACTCTCATACGTCGAACATCCAATTTCATTCAAATCACGTCATGAACTACAAATTTCTTAGAACGGTGCCAGTTAAACTTCGTAATGGATATAAAAAAGTTGTGGTAAACGCATTGCTTGACGATGGAAATACCAAGACATATTTGAACTCTGATGTAGCGGCTGAGTTGTCACTGCAAGGTAAAACCGAAAAAGTAACTGTAGACATGATAAATGGAAAAATTGATTCTTTCGAAATGATGCCAGTAGAATTTCAGTTGGAATCGTTGAATGGAGAAACAAAAATTACAGTGGAAGCTTTTACAGTTAATAATGTAACTGGAAACTTAAAAGCAGTTAATTGGGCAAATATGTCAAAAAGTTGGAAACATCTAAAAAAAATCGAATTCCCAAATATTGGACCAAAACCAAAATTTGACATTCTAGTCGGTGTGGATTACGCTGAGGTGCACTGTGCAATTAAGGAAGTAAAAGGAGGATTTAATGAACCAGTGGCTCGACTCACGCCGCTCGGATGGACATGTGTTAGTGGTACTGGTGGATCTCTTCAAACCCATTTTACGAAAATAACATCTAGTACAAAGGAAATAGAAGATGCAAACAACACCATTAAAAAATTATGGGAAATTGAAGGCGACGAAGAGATGCAATTTAGAAAAATAATGACAAATCCAGAAGACTCTACCGCCCTTAATATAGTAACTAATTCGCTAAAAACTGAGAACGGAAGATATGAGCTAAAATTACCATGAAAAGGTAATAGACATTTGGACAATAATTATACAATGGCGTTAAACAGATTACAAATACGGAAAAACGGCTAATAAAAAACAAAAGTCTAGGAGAAGAGTACAATAATATTATTAAGCAGTATCAAGAAAAGGGATACTTGGAGAAAATCAATAAAAAGGATCTTGGAGATGGTTGGTACTTACCACATTTTCCAATTCTTCGTCCTTATAAATCAACTACAAAAGTCAGAACTGTGTTTGATGGATATGCAAAATATAATGGTAAATCAATTAATGATGTTATTTAATAAGGTCCAAAACTTCAACAAGACCTTGTGACTGTTTTGCTGAGATTTCGAAAATACCCAGTGGCTTTAGCTTGTGATATAGCAGAAATGTATTTAAAAATTGGAATACATAAAGATGACCAAAGGTACCAACGAATTTTATTGAGAAACCTAGATTCAACTGCCGAGCCTGAGGTATTTTAGTTTAATCGGCTCGTATTTGGAATCAACTCAGCGCCTTTTATGGCTCAATTTGTAACGCAAGAACACGCAAGAAAGTATGCAAAAAAATTTCCTTTGGCTTCTGAAGCTGTTCTTGAAGCAACTTACATGGACGACACAATAACTTCTGTAGTTGATGAAAAAGTAGGAATTCAATTATACAAGGAACTCACGCTACTATGGGGTTCAGCAGGAATGTTTGCACGAAAGTGGCTTTCAAACTCGGTCGAAGTTCTTAAAATAACACCAGAAAATGATCGTGCAAAACATATAAGTTTAGATTCTGGAGAATTACCTGCAATGAAAACACTTGGAGTTGTCTAGAAAGCAAAACCTGATTTATTTAGTTTTCATTCTATAACAACCGAAGAAAATACGGTATATACAAAAAGAATTTTGCTTAAAAAAATGGCAACGCTGTTTGATCCATTGGGTTTTTTGGCACCATACATCATTCAAATCAAAATAATTATGCAGGAACTGTTGATTGACGGAATTGAGTGAGATGATGCAGTTCCGGATAGGATTGCAAATAATGCTGATCAATAGTTTCAAGAACTAAACGATCTCCCAAAAATAAACATTCCCAGATGTTTACAAACAACCTCGACAGTAACAAATAGGTCAATTCATGTTTTTACGGATGCGTCTTGCAAAGCTTACGGTGCTGTTGCTTACCAACAATGTTTATATGACACCGGAGAAATGACCTGTGTGATCATAATGTCAAAAGCCCGAGTAAGTCCATTGCAATCTATTAGTATACCACGACTTGAGTTACTTGGAGCTGTCCTCGGTTTACGACTTGCAGAGAAGATTGTCAAGGCATTGAAGCTGGAAACTAAGGACGTAACTGTATGGTGTGATAGTTTTAATGTTTTATGGTGGATAAAAAATCAAAGTCGAAAGTTGAAACCATTTGTTGCCAACCGCGTTGGATTCATTCAATCAAAGATTGAACTAAAACAATGGAGATACATACCAACAAAAACTAATGTAGCTGATTTACTAACAAGAGGAACAACAGTTAAAGAATTAGAAAGCAATTATGTATGGTGGCATGGACCAAGTTTCCTTAATTCTTTAGAAGAAAAATGGCCACAGAATCACATTGAAGTTACACAAGAGGATTCAATTGAAGTAAAGAAAAATCCAGTATTAATGAATTTTGCATTATCCACTGAAGTAACAAAGTAATTGCTTGATATAAACAAGTTTTCATGTTGGAAAAAACTTGTCAGGATAAACGGCTGGATCCATTGGTTTATAGGAAATTGTCGATTTGAAACAGACTTTCGTAAAAAGGGTAATATAGCAGCTGATAAATATCATGAAAGCGAAAAAGAAATCATAGCTAAAGCTCAAAAAGAAAGCTTTAAAGAAGAATATAGCAACATTGAAAAAGGAAAACCGATATCGATATCAAGCAAAATTATTTCTTTAAATCCACAAATTGACGAAGACGGATTATTGCGATCTTGCAGTCGATTGCAAAATGCCCATTACTTACCCTACGATGTCAAGTATCCAATCATTTTGCCGAGAGGACATACAATAACATGTTTGATTGTTAAGCATTACCATGACGAAGCCAATCATGTGATGGGAACAAATCAATTATTAACAAAACTCTCAGAAAGATATTGGGTAATACGAGGACGAGAAGAAATCCGAGATGCAGAAGCAAAATGCAACAAATGTAAATTAAGAAGATATAAACCTGCTTAACAGCTGATGGCCCCTTTACCAGCAATGCGCTTTAAAGAACCACTACGTGCGTTTGCTAGAATTGGTATCGATTTTGCTGGTCCATTTCTTACTATGCAAGGTAGAGGGAAGATACGACAAAAGAGATACTTGTGCTTGCTTACCTGTTTACTATCACGAGCAGTACATCTTGAGATGGCTTATAATCTAGATACAAATTCATTCCTCAATGCCTTTTATTGAATGGTCGATAGAAGAGGATTACCATTAGAAGTTTGAACGGACAATGGAACAAATTTTGTTGGAGGATGTCGAGAACTAAACGAAATTGTCAACGACTTAGATAAGGATAAAATTACTAACTCTACAGCTGATAAAGGAATCAAGTGGCACTTTAATGCTCCGTTAGGACCTCATATAGGCGGTGTATTTGAAATAATGGTCAAAGCTGTCAAACGTGCAATGACTGGGATACTCGAAAAAGCCGATATTACAGATGAAGAACTCTGAACGGCATTTACAGGTGCTGAGAGTTTATTGAATTCTCGCCCACTAACATATCAGAGTGCCAATATAAAAAATGATATTCCATTAACCTCAAATCATTTTTGATTGGGCAAGTTGGTGGACAATTTGCACCTGACTCAGTTCAATCTAAAGGCTATCATCCTAAAAAGCGCTGGCGTCGAGTGCAAGAACTACTAAGTCATTTTTGGAAACGGCGGATGCGAGAATGGCTTCCATCTTTATCTAAAAGATATAAATGGAATCAGAAAAAACGCGAAATAAAAACGGATGACATTGTGTTAGTAATTTCTCCAGATATATCTAGAGGACATTGGCCACTTGGTAGAATTACGGGAGTCTTTGAAGGTAAGGATGGACGTGTAAGAGTTGTTAAAGTCAAAATAGGCGAAAAAGAATTTATACGACCAATTACGACATTGTGTCTTCTTCAATTTGATAATTAAATGTTTTATAGACTGGAGTCTATAAAAGAAGGGGAGAATGATTGGAAGAAAATTGAATCAGCATAAAAAAAAAACAACATTCCGATACCACGATCGATATAACCAGTAAATAGCGCCAATATGGCTATAACGAACTAAATAACAATTATGTGGCGACTATTTGAACAATAGTATTTTTTTGTTATAGAACGAAATTTTTGTATAAATAGAGTTTTGTTGTTGTTGTTTTTCAGATACAAAAATTTTAAGAATATAAGTAATATAGTTAATTTAAAAACGGTTAAGATCTTAAAAATATAAGTTATAATACATATTTAGTATTATTTGTGATCGCCATCGGATCAATCACTCCTGATTTCTTAATCATTCCTGATTTCTATTGCCTGGTCAGGTTTATTATTATCAGGTCAGGTTTATCCTGCTACTGGTAACATGTAACCGAGTACAATCTGCTTCATGTCCTGCTGCCTTGTAGGATATGCCTTATTAGGCAAAGGCTAGGAGATGCAAACTCGGACATAAAACACCCCTGCCTTGGGGCTCTTGGTTGAGTAAAGGCTAGAGATGGTGTCTCGATAAAATTACTCATCTTGGGCAGATGTTAAATGCCTCCGGCTGCTGTCTTGTAGAAGGCCTCCTAGGCAAAGACTTAAGGGGTAAACAGGTTCTATCTGTTGACCAGCCTCGCACCCCTTCTTCATCTATTAGGCTGGCGCAGATGTATTTTTAATACATTGTTTCCAGTTTAGGATGTTGAACGCTGGATCTTCTTGACTCGATGCATGGGTTTTGCTTGTGTCTCTGTTTTTATGACTAGGCAACTCATTCTATTTTCTCCAAATGAGGGTACAGCTCTAAAACTCAGTTTTATGGCTCTGAGGCAGGCTGGTAGTCAGGTTTCCCGAACTCTGTGGTAGCTCTCAGAGAGGCTGATTCCATCAACAGCTGAAAAATATCAGAGTACTAACAGTGCCATGTTGCGCATGTATGATGTCCCTGTTTGTACTTTTGGTGTGCATTGCCAAGGCCACATTGGAGCCCTTTGTTACGGCTTAGGGTTTATTAGTAGAAATGAAGCAATTGCTTGGGCTATAAAATAGTGTACTGAGTACTATCTATGTTTCCAGTCAAGTTCTTTAACAAATTTAAAAATGAATAAAGTAACAAAATCTATAAAACACAAAAAACCACAGTCATCACCAAGTTCGCAAAACCTATCATTCACCTATATTCATGGTCTTCGAAGTAACTTTTCTTCTGTTGAGTCTTATCTCTTGCACAGTTTACCAGACTTACTTGCTCTTTGTGAGACTAATTTGAGTTCTTCTGTCTCATCTTGTGATCTTAGTGTTGATGGTTATCTTCATTTAATTCGTAAAGACTCCAATAGTCATGCTTGGCCTGGGCATTTACATTCATAAGAATTCTCCCATTTGTCTGGAAACTAGATTTGAATCCACAGACTACTATTTTATGTGCTTTCGTTTAGCACGACTTCACTCTATCACCTTTCTCTTTGTTCTATATTGCTCTCCCTCATCTCAAGACTGTATTCTTCTTGATGTTATTTCTGATCATATTGACCAAGCCCTCTCTCTTTATCCATTATCCAATATTGTTGTTGTCGGTGACTTAAATGTTCATCACACTGAATGGCTTGGCTCTAGTGTCAGTGACTCTGCAGGCATTAAGGCCCACAATTTTTGCCTTTCTCAATCCCTAACTCAAATAGTCAACTTTCCAACTCGCTTTCCAGAAAACCCAAATCATTTACTTTCTCTTCTCGACTTATGTCTTGTTTCTGATCCTAGTCAGTGCTTAATTTCTCTACACTCACCCTTAGGTGCTTCTGATCATGGTATGGTTTCTCTAAAACTATTATCTCATTTTTCTTTACCATCAGAATTGCCCTATCATCGTACATCTTACAACTACCTTAAAGCTGACTGGGACTCTTTCCGTGGTTTTCTTCGTGATGGCCCCTGGGTAAAAATCTTTCGTCTTCCTGTTGACAAATGTGCTTCTTACATAACTTTGTGGATTTAGGCTGGCATGGAATCCTTTATTCCCTCTCGACGATTCCAGGTCAAGCCTCACTCATATCCATGGTTTTCCTCACATTGTGCTGCTGCAATTGCCAATCGAAACCATTACTTCCATATCTATCAGCAAAACAATTCTCTAGAAAACAGACGTCTGTTTATTACTGCTAGGAACCATTGTAAAAAGGTTTTGTCTAACGATAAAGCCCGCTATTCTCAGACCATGAAATCTCGTATTTCATTACAAAAATTAGGCTCTCGTGACTTCTGGAAAATCTTTATTAGTATCAATAATAAAGGCAAGTCTGTAATTCCACCTCTTTTGTATGGTTTAGACTTTGTCACCTCACCTAAAGACAAAGCTGAATTGTTTGCCAAGAACTTTTCATCAGTATCATCTCTTAATTCCACTAGTTGCGTTCTACCTGATATAGCCGTCAAACAGGTTGATTCATTGCTCGACATCCGTATCACTCCAGCTTCTGTATCTAAAGTGATTCCCTGCTTAGACTCTTCTACAGCTTGCGGCCCGGACAACATACCCGTTATAGTCTTGCAGAAGTGTTTTACGGAGCTGTCGTCTATCTTTTCAAAACTATTTAACAAGTGATTATCAGAGTAACCGATAGGTTTTATCGCGCATTGGATAAAGGTGTAGAGGTTAAGGCCATCGCTCTTGACATTTCTAAAGCGTTTGATAAAGTTTGGCATGCTGGTCTTCTCCATAAGCTTTCTTCTTACGGTGTATCTGGAAACATCTTTGAGAATATTGAATCCTTCTTTTCCAATATATTTCCGTATAAAAGTTGTCCTCGATGGGCAGCACTCTGCTTCTTATTCTGTAACCTCAGGGGTTCCTTAAGGTTCAATCCTTGGCCCTATACTCTTTTTAATTTACATTAACGATCTTCCAGATATTCTCACATCTAACGTGGTATTGTTCGCTGATGATTCTACCATTTATTCTTGTCACGATAAGAAGCCAACTGCTTCTGATTGCTTGCAGGGGGCATCTGAGCTTGAAAAGGATCTCACTTCTGCTACAGCATGGGGCTCACAGTGGCTGGTGAACTTTAATTCAGATAAAACTCAATTTTTTTCAGCCAATCGTTATCGCAATAATTTAGACCTTCCTATATTTATGAACGGTAATGTGCTCAATGAGTCTCCTATCCTTCATCTTCTAGGATTAACTCTTAGTTCTGATCTTTCTTGAAAACCTTATATCAAATCCGTTGCAAAATTAGCATCTGCTAAAGTTGCTTCTCTTTATCGAGCTCGACACTTTCTTACTCTGGATTCTATTATCTATCTCTATAAATCTCAAATCCGGCCTTGTATGGAATACTGTTACCATATCTGGGGCGGATCTTCTAAGGATGCCCTTTCTCCTAGACAAGGTGCAAAAACGCATTGTAAACATAGTTGGACCTGCTCTTGCAGCCAACCTTCAACCTCTGTCACATCGTTGTAATGTTGCTTCTCTTTCTCTTTTCTACAAATATTATAATGGGCACTGCTCTAAAGAGCTAGCGTCTCTTGTGCCATCTACTAAAATTCATTCTCGTATTACTCGTCATTCAATTTAGTCTCAACCTTTTTCTGTTACTGTTCCTAAGTGCTTCAAAAACTCTTATTCGTCTAGTTTTTTTCCTCGAACATCATTTCTTTGGAATTTGCTTCCTTCATCTTGCTTTCCTGATTCATATAATTTGCAATCTTTAAGTCGTCCGTCAATCGTTATCTTGCTCTACAATCTTCATCTTTTCTCTTCCAGTAACTTCCAACACTAATTATTGGTTGCTTGCAGCCTTGTTGGAAGCAAAAATGTTTAAAAAAAAAAACTACTTAGTTTTGTAAAGTTTTAAAGGAAAATATTGCTTTTACGAGAAATGATAATTCTTTTTTAAAAAAATGAATAAATGAGTAACTCTGGAAAAATGATCCGGTATTCTAATCGTTAGATTCCCAATAAAAATATCTTTAGAAATTGAATTAGAAAATATAT